TCCAGGGGCGGAGGCCTCCAGCTAATGCTCCTCTGGTATTAAGGGGGCTCCAAACCACTACCCCTCTCTCTAGGGTGGGAGGGTGACCCCCTGCTGCTGTGTGTGTGTGGGGGGGGGGGGGGGGGGGGGGGATATGGGGGCTCTAATTGCCTTAATCTGGCCCTGTAATAGTGTAAAGGATCATCTATAATAGTGATGAGGATCACCTATTTTATTCATTTTACACCCTTCCAAGCCTTTGGAATGAGACCCCAATCTTCCTGAAGCTTTTGGCTCTGGGAGCAAGAACAGGGATTCAGTGTTAAATCTGGAGCCCAGATCTGTGGGTCTGACCAAGTTTTCTTCACCATAGCCACTTTTGTGCTCCGATAATCTTTTGGGAAGCTAGAAAACCGTTTAACCTCTATCATGAATTAGTGTAAATTAGAGCAGCCCCGGGACTACTCTATCTCGCAACATTCTCTTAGGAGCCCATTATGCTGGTTGGAGATCACTTGGACTTCAAAGCACTTTCTCCCCCAGGAACAGGAACCAAGAGGTAGGATTTAGAATGGGTAATTCCATTTGCATGACAGGTGGGGATGCCTCGACAGATGAGGGGCAGTTTCTGGTATGTAGCCATGCAGAAAATTTTCATCTTTCAAAGTAATTTGCATTTGCCTTAAATAATTTTATTCTAGACACGCCTGCAAAAGAATGAATCATCCACATAACCATTTATTACATAGCACAAACTCTGACCCATTGCTTTCTCAAAGAAAGATTCTGTGAAGGTGCATTTGAGGTATTTGTATACAGTTAAGATCAGCTATGCTTTTTAAAAAGTATGAATAAACGCAGTACTCCACAAGTCAGCGATGCACATCTTTAACCTACAAAAATACAAACATATGTAAATTGTTTTCTTCCTTTACAGTTAGTTTTACCAAAAATGAAAAAGGGGTGTTTTTTAATTCTTTTACAAAGTAGATTATTGTTACATATGCTGTCCATGCATCTATTTCTTACTGAAAAAGAAAGACAAAAATTCATCAGAGGTTCTGTAATGATAAAACCTGAAGATACAGTAGGGTACATATATTCATAGTTCAGATGACAAGTTATGTAAAGAGTCACAAAGGGAGAGATTGCATTTAAGGTAAATTTACATACAATGTATTACAGACTCAATTCACTAAAGAAAGTTCTCATTGGCAACGTAAGATTTTGCTGTAGATTCTTCATTCAGAATCACCCTTTCTTTCCAGTGTAGAACCTGAACTTTGAAAAACCTGTGTTCCTTCATCTGTAAAATAGGTTACCTACTTCAGATGAGGATTAGCTAATGTCTATAAAGCACTTGGAAGATGAAAACTGCTGTGTAAATGCTAAGTATTAATAATTAGCAAAGTCTCCTTTCAACATCTGATTACTCATTTCAGATAGGGAAGGGAGTGAAGGGTAAAGAAAATCTGAGATATTAGTTTAGTAGAAAAGAAGGAGAAATCTCAGTGCTAGTACCATTAAACATTTCGACAGTGGACATAATCAGAAACTAGGAAAATTGTGTACCATATTAAAAACTGCAAAACAGGCAGTTTTTATATGTACTTGGGGAAGCCACAGTAACACTTATCTACTCCATCTATTTATGTCGTATTATGACTATCATTGTGAAAGATGTTTGGTTCCTTAAAATTTTTGCTGTTTTTCACGGCTTGCTTTCATTCACAACTTTTCTTCACAGAAAAATTTTGCAGCAACAATAGATACTCTCACTGAACGTATTTTGAAACATATTACCATATTTAAAATTTTTCTGGGACTTGGGGAGATTTAAAACATCTCAATACTAGCAAAAACTTTTCTGGTTTGCTCCCCCCGCACCCAAATATTTCAGATATTTAGGTTCAAGCAGGCATTGAGGCAAGGCCTAGCACAGACTCTAGACAGCCTATAGGGAAACAGCTTCTGGGCACTCTACCAAGGAAGCAATACAATCTGCCTGAAGTGACCTTCAATCCTAATCTCTCAAACTCTTTCATGCTGGGCAAATGATTTCAGTGATTATATTCTAGCAAAACTGATGAACAGACAGCCTCCTTTGAGACTGATGCAGCTATCTTTATGTAATTTGGCTAAAATTCCCCTCCACTCTCGCACCTCCCATTCACAGACGGAGCATGCAACAGTTAGGCTAGTCAGCCTTCAACACAACAGGATTACAAACATTAGCATGGCTGCTGTGTGACTACAAACAAAAAATATGAAAGGACATATGGACCAACTAAGCTCACCAACACAAATCCTATCTTTCATCTCATGTAGAGGATCCAATCTGGGAGAATCCATGCTACAAACTAGGCGTGGAAGAAGATAATGTGGATGGAATGCCACATACTATCTATATCCTGATTAATATCAAAGGACCAGATCACACCATTTAATTTCTCTCCAACTACAATATAACCTATCAAGTACTGCAATATGGCAACATATTCAAATTTGTCACTTGTTCCCCTCACAGTTCGGCCCAGAGGAACTTGCATTGTCTGAAGCGCCAGAACTTGCCAAATTTTGTAGAGAATTATACTATTTCTCCAGACTGGCAGCTACACTAGAGGAGTTCCTAATGACCCACCAAAGAGTTAATATAGATGTAGTGATGCAAAAATGGAACAAAGAATTGGCAATAAGTATCTTACCCCACAGTGAAACAGAACATGAGAGATTAAAGAAGCAATCTTGGACCTCCAATTAAGTCTCTTTCAACAAAAAATCATGTTTAGGGTTCACTAGTTGCCCCAAACACTTCACAAAGTTAAAGCTACCCTCAGTGATCAATGTTGAGGTGTGTGTCTGTGGGGTGGTGGTGGTAAAGGAGCCAGCATGCATATGTTTTGATCATGCCCTATTGTTTCCAGCTTCTGGGATGGTATTAGAACCAGAATTAATAAGTTCCTAGAGTTGTCACTTGACCTTAAAGCTGACATTTGCATACTGTACTGGGTCAGATACCCAGCAAATGGGAGCTATCACTATATCAAAGGGAATGGCTACATAGAGTTGTACTGGCTGTGAGAGGTCAAATTTTGCTACACTGGAAAAATAAATCTGTCCCTTTCCCCCACATATCCTCCCCCCCCCCCCAGCAGTTTTAATGGACTGGCAGACCTGGCTGCAAAGGAAGGTATCTGTAATGGTGTGGCACCCACCTCTCACAAGAACCTCCTTCTGATCAGGTGTGTCTGCAGTCTTTAAACAGTCCCAGCCCTGGTATTGAGCCATACCCCCAGGACTTCCTCCCTGGAGGCAATGGTTTTGCTCTCTCTGGTCTGTTCTGGCCTCAGCTCTCTGGCTGGGCCTCTTAGCAGTTCAGATCCCCCTCTGGGGTTTATTGCTGTCCAACTTAGGCCACTTCCCTAATGGCCTATGGGGGGGAGGGGTGGAAACCTGGGCCCACCCACTACTCCAGGTCCCTTCCCAGGGACCCTAAGAATAGTACCCATTTGCCACCATGTCCCTTTAATAAAACTGCTTTCAGTTCCCTGGGCCACTTCCCCATAGCCCCAGCCTTCACCAAAGCTTCACCCTTACCTCAGGGATCTTTTATCTTCAGGCCCAGCAGCCAGCCAGGAGCTCTTCCTCTCACCCCTGGTCCTTGCCAGCACTGAGCTGTCCATGGTGCTGCAGTTCCCTTTGGCCAGCCAGGAGCACCCTCTACACTCCTCTGACTCCAGCAAGAAACTGACTGTCTCTGCAGCTCTTTTTATATGGCTCTCCTGGGCCAGGAGTGGCTGCTCCCTGCAGCCTCTCTGATTGGCTGCTTCTCCTGCAGCCACTCTAGGTTGCTTGGAGGACTCCTCTCCTGCTCTCTTCCTGGGACATGTGTTCAGGACCCTGAGGCCTCCAGCACAGCACCTCTGGACCTAGTCCACACCATCGCATACAATAGATAGCAAGCCCTAGAAAAAGCTGAGTCTATTTGGGACAATTTCCTAGAACTGGTCAACTAAAAATCCCTGCAGGATGCCTGAAAGAAAGACAGGAGATAAATCTATACCCTTCTTCCGTATTCCCTCTCCTCTCCATCTCTTTCCCCCTGCCTTTTTCCCTTTCATTTTTATTTATTAATTAATTTGGATATATGGTATAAAAATCCATGTGCTGGGAACATATAGTAATTTTTGTACTTGTTTTTTATGTTGGCACCTAAAATATCTTTGGTTTGTTAAATGAAAAAAACTGAAAATTGTAATTAAATCAGAAAAAATAAAATGAAAGGACTTTAAAATCTTTTTAGCCTTTTGTGTGGTTCAGTTAAATGAGTCATCCTTCTTGTAGACAATTCAGACAGAATTTAATGGAAATGGATTATGCCTTTATCATCTTGAAGTACTGGTCCCTGGTTTACCAAGTAAAGCTACGAAAATTGTAATTAGTGCTCTGTACTAAATAATGTATTTTATTCTAATTTACCATAACAAAATGAAATTGACCTACACAAAGAACTGAAATAAGCTGAGTTTGCCAATTAAAATGAATAAATACATTGCACAAAATTCACCAGAACATGTTTAGGATTTATGGATGAATTCTGGTGAGAATCACAATTAAATCAAATTATTTTGGGCTAGCTACACTGCAATCTTGTTATGAAGCTGTTTTTAAAAAAATATTATTAAAAATAGATTGTATCCAAATGGGCAAAATCAGAGATATATAAATTGAGATTTCTTAAGTATAATTATTTGCATCTGTGACAGGCATAAAGGTCATTCGGTGCCCTCACACCCTTGCTTGTCTCAATGTGACTCTTCATGGGAGTAACTGTATGCCTGGGCCTAACATTTTGCAGGACTGGAGCTTTCATACATTTCTAACAGAATTTCTTTAAAAAAGATCAACGCTACATTTTAAGTGAAAACAATAAGCCATGGTCAATCTGTTGTTCCATGATCTATTCACATTTAATCACATTTATGGATGCCATACCAGAGAGGAATATATCCTTTGCCTACCTCACTGAGTGATGTCCCGAAGTATAATCTAGTTTCCCATATTTCTGAGTTCGGTAGCCATGCTTTTGCATCAGGTCCATCCATGTTGTATAATTTGGATCTAAACCTTTGAAGTTATTCCAAGATTCTGTTAAATGAGTGAAGAGGCCACTCCACATAGCTGAAAAAAGCAAGTCAGAAACAAATGCCTGTCAACGCATTTATAGAATAATAACTAGGGCTGTCAAGTGATTAAAAAAATTAATCTTGATTAATCACATGATTAATTGTGCTGTAAAACAATAACAGACTACCATTTATTTAAATATTTTTGGATGTTTTCTACATTTTCAAATACATTGATTACAATTACAACACAGAATACAAAGTGTGCAGTGCTCACTTTATATTTATTTTTGATTACAAATATTTGCACTGTAAAAACGAAAAAGAAATAGTATTTCTCAATTCACCTCAAACAAGTACTGTAGTGCAATCTCTTTACCATGAAAGTTGAACTTACAAATTTAGAATTATGTACAAAAAAACCTGCACTCAAAAACAAAACAATGTAAAACTTTAGAGCCTACAAGTTCACTCAGTCCTATTTCTTGTTCAGCCAATCGCTCAGACAAAAAAGTTTGTTTACATTTACAGGAGATAAGGCTACCCGCTTCTTATTTATGTCACCTGAAAGTGAAAAAGGCATTCGCATGGCACTTTTGTAGCTGGCATTGCAAGGTATTTACGTGCCAGATATGCAAAACATTTGTATGCCCCTTCATTTTTTGGCCTTCATTCCAGAGGACATGCTTCCATGCTGATGACACTTGTTAAAAAAAATAATACGTTAATTAAATTTGTGATTGAACTCCTAGGGGGAGAATTATATTTCTCCTGCTGTTTTACCTACATTCTGCCATATATTTCATGTTATAGCAGTCTCGGATGATGACCCAGCACATGTTGTTTGTTTTCAGAACACTTTCACTGCAGATTTGACAAAATGCAAAGAAGGTACCAATGTGAGATTTTTAAAGATAGCAACAGCACTTGACCCAAGGTTTAAGCATCTGAAGTGCCTTCCAAAATCTGAGCAGGACAAAGTGTGGAGCATGCTTTTAGAAGTCTTAAAAGAACAACACTCTGATGTGGAAACTACAGAACCCAAACCACCAAAAAAGAAAATCAACCTTCTGTTGGTGGCATCTGACTCAGATGATGAAAATGAACATATGTCATCCGCACTGCTTTGGATTGTTATCAAGCAGAACGCATCATCAGCAAGGAAGCATATCTTCTGGAATGGTTGGCGAAGCATGAATGGAGATATGAATCTTTAGTGCATCTGGCATGTAAATATCTTGTGATCCTGGCTACAACAGTGCCATGCGAACGTCTGTTCTCACTTTCAGGTGACACTGTAAAATAAAAGTGGGCAGTATTATCTCATGCAAATGTACACAAACTTGTTTGTCTGAGAGATTGGCTGAACAAGAGGTAGGACGGAGTGGACTTGTAGGCTCTAAAGTTTTACATTGTTTTATTTTTGAGTGCAGTTATTTTTTGTACATAATTCTACATTTGTAAGTTCAACTTTCATGATAAAGAGATTGCATTATAGTACTTGTATGAGGTGAATTGAAAAATACTATTTCTTTTGTTTATCATTTTTACAGTAAATATTTGTAATAAAAATAATAATATAAAGTGTGCACTATACACTTTGGATTCTTTGTTGTCATTGAAATCAATATATTTGAAAATGTAGAAAAACATCCAAAAACATAATAAATTTCAATTGGTATTCTATTGTTTAACAGTGCGATTAAAACTGCGATTAATGGCAATTAATTTTTTTAGTTTATCATGTAAGTTAACTGCGATAAATCGACAGCCCTAATAATAATATTAATACTTTGTACTTTTATAACATGTTCCATAGCATCCTCCATCCAAAGATCTCAACATACATTAATTAAGATTTGCAGTCCCCCTGGGTCATGTAGAAATGTTATCCTCATTGCACAGATAAGAAAACTGAAGTCCAGAGAGGTAAAATGATTTGTTTAAATTCACACAGTAGGTCAATAATCGAGAAGAGAGTAGAATCCAGGTGTCCTGACTCTTAGCTACATGATATAATAATTATTTTTTAATTTGTATTGTGACACTGCCTAGGAGCACCAGTCATGGGCCAAGGTCCCACTATGCTAAGCATGGCACAATCATTAAACTTAGTATCTTCTGCTAGAAAAGAAACATTTTTATTGATTGTAAAAATAATATGCCTTACTTAGAAAGGCCCCAAAACAGCAAAGGACTTAAGCATGTGTTAAATTTCAAGTTGAGTTGATCCCTTAACTTCAGTGGGACTTTTCGTAAGTTTAACGTTAAGCATGTTGACCATCAGAACACGACTAACACCTTCTGTGGGTCCACGGACATCACCTCTCACAGATTCGGTATCGTGCTGCCTTAGCTCTCTGGCTATGGCATGCTCGAGTCCTACCTTTTCTGGCGTGTCAGAATCCAAAACAAAAAGGAAGACAGTGATCTCAGAATCAGGGTCATGCATGGGATTGTCAGGAGGACCCTTGCTCTCCTGTTCTGAACAGCTAGTCCTTTTTTGTTAGTTTTCCTGGACCTAGCTGTTCCATCCACCAAAGGGTTCACCCAGGTAGCAAGTTGCCCTAAGCTCTCAGCTTGAACCAGGCTTCCCTGGTCAGCCCTGAATTGGGTTAGTTGTTCTCCTTTTAGCTCTCCTTTCCATGCCGGATATTGGCTGCACTGGGTTCAGGTGCAGCAGGGCAGCATCAACAGGGTCCACAGGCTCTCCTTAACCCTCTCATCATTGCTAGTGGAGAGCCAGTCAGTTTTCCTTTGTTGCCAGTATGGGGCCTCTGTGCCCCAACATACATACATATAAGTGCTTTTCTGAATCAGGGCCATTATCTACAATGTTTTAGATTTCAGTGTGAATACTTCAGGGTGATGAATGAATCAGTTCCTCTCAGAGCTACTGTTTCAGTTCTTCTGTGGACTCAGACAGACATCACTACATTGGTTTCACTTAGTTCATATGTGAAAGGTTTCCGCCACAACAATAAGAGCTAGAAACATTAAAATGAAAACTTGGATTCTGAAGCACAACTTTTATCAAATGGTGTATAATATGGCAAAGTTTGTAGTCACAGAATTTCACAATACAAAAGGCTCTGATTATAACTGGTTGAAACAACAGAAAAAGTTTAAAAAACACTATAACATATTTAGGTAATAACTACTGAAAATACAAGATATTTGAGAATAACTGGTTAGAAGAGCTGATGTCTCAAGGCAAAGCTAAAGGTCATCCATCAGTTTCAATCAGTTGTTAGTATTTCATATGCGTCCCAGGCAGCAAGATAGGTAGAAAGTATCTCTGTGCTGGGAAGCCCCAGAGCAGCCCTGAAGGCAGCCACAGATCAATGTTGTAGAGCAGTGGTTCTCAAAGCTGGTCCGCCGCTTGTTCAGGGAAAGCCCCTGGCAGGCCGGGCCGGTTTGTTTACCTGCCGTGTCTGCAGGTTTGGCCTATCACGGCTCCCACTGGCTGCGGTTTGCCGCTCCAGGCCAATGGGGGCTGCGGGAAGCAGTGCGGGCCGAGGGATGTGCTGGCCGCCGCTTCCCGCAGCCCCCATTGGCCTGGAGCGGCGAACCTGCGGCTGCGTCAGGTAAATAAACCGGCCCGGCCTGCCGGGGGCTTTCCCTGAACAAGCGGTGGACCGGCTTTGAGACCCACTGTTGTAGAGGACAAACAAGTCCATTGGAATCCTTAAAGGTTTTCAGAAGTATTGAAACCTGAGTAAAGTTTGCAACGGCTTGGGGGGCTGAGAAGTTGAAAGAGAAGAATGCAGTTGGGAGGAAGAAGCATGGGAGGCAGACAAGGGGGGAAAGAGAAATGGATAAAAACCTCAGAAGGTTTGGATAATTTTAGATAAGCATTTAAAAATGGGGGCTTATTCAGCTCAAGCCTTCTGAGGTCTATCCATCACTAATGAATATTTAAACCGGCTCTCCCCAGGTAGCTACTATTTCCTTAAGAAGATTTTTAATATGATTTTACCTGCACGAGAAGGACAGCATATTGGAGAATTGGTGTAGGCATTGAGAAAAACCGTGCCATATCTTTTCATGAAATTTATAAAAGGTAGGATCACGGTCTGATTTCCTGGATAAAATGTCAACCTTCCATCCTGCAATCAAAAAGAAGGTACTTAAAAACATTAAAATTGATAATGGTAACATTTTCTTTAATAATTAGAAATAAAATATTATGAAAATGACCCAAAGCTACAGTATATGGCAAATTTACCATTCTAGGAATTACGTTCTGGTTGTCCAAGAGTTGCAACAACAGACTGGTAACTATAAACATCACTGGCAGGACTCTGTGTGTGTGTGTATGTGTGTGAGACTGAAAAGCATATGCTAACTGTTGTATTTTCAATAAATGCTGCGTATTTGCCTTCCTCTATAAAGATTCCGTGTGCTTTGTATGAGCATAACAGTCACAAGCGTTTGCAAGACCAGGGCCCTAGACTCGCTGACATTTCATCTTTAAAAGAATAAGCTGTGTAAAATGGATACAGATCATTCTCTAGCATCTGAGTCAGTGATGGCCTAAGAAAAAGCATGTACAGTATAGAGAAGCAAGAGTTACAGTGACATAACTGTTAGAATGTAAGATATGTTGATACTCAGTTTTGAAAGAATCTTTCATTTGTTAAAAATAATTGCTTAACATTATGATTACATTTATACTTCACATTGTATTTTACAATTTGCAATACTTAAACAGGAGGGCAAACATACACAAAAAAAGAATGATAACTTCTTTTTCTGCCTTTGGCCTTACAATAGAGATCCACAAAAACATTTTACTCAGCCTAAAGAATATTGTGTTTTTCATGCTACTCTGTTTCTGTGCCTTAAAAGATATGTGGTCAAACTCTGATTTCAGTTATAATGGTATAACTTTATTGGAGATGGTTTCACTGTTTTATATAGTCCCCTGAGGAAAAAGGAAAACAGGGACTAAACAGGCACCAAGAACAATAGTTTTATATATTATTATTATTTCTATAACCATAACACTTATAAGCCCTAGTCATGGAGCAGGATCCTACTGAGCTAGATGATGTACAAACACAGAACAAAAAGGCAGTCCCTGCTTCAGAGACAAGAGAAAATAAATGGATACAGACAAAACAGAGAGTACAAGAAAACAATGAAACAATGTTGGTCAGCATGATAGGGCGTAATCTCAGGACACTAGCATCGTTGTCAAGTTTTTCGTAGTCATCACAGAAAAAAGTTTTAGGGAGGGTTTTGAAGGAGAAAAACGCATTTGTTTTGCGGACATTTACAGGGATCTCCTCCTAAGCATGAGGGGGCAGCATGGGAGAGAGCATGGAGGGAACTTGTTTGAAAATTTAATAAGGCTTGGATCACGGGACAATCAGAAGTGGGAGTTGACATCTAGATAGCAAATGAGAGACATAATGGGGATAGACCATGAAGAGCCTTGAAAGTGAAAACAAGTGTCTTATGCTTGGTGCGATAATGGGGGGGGGGGGGGTGTCAGTGGAAGGATGCAAAGAAAGGGGTGATATAGAATCAGAGAGTTTAAGTCTAGAAGAGACAACCAGACCATCTAATGTGACCTCCTGTATATCACAGGCCACCGAGACCACCCTCCAAACACACACTAAGCCCAACAACTGAAATTAGATCAAAGTATTACACCCACACGAGACGAGACTATTATGTGTCACAGGGAGTGAATAGGAGGGACCAAGGTGCACCAGTGCCTGAGGCCCCCATGATGACAGGGAAATGATTAAGTGGAAAATACCCAGATAAACCTGGTAAAGTGATAAGAAAGGAAAATGATCTTTGCATCAGGGTTCTAAATGAATATGAGCAGGGTAAGGTTTACTCCTCAAAAAACAAATTCTTGCCTAGTCCTTTGATTAACATTAAATAAAGAACCTAAGGAGGAAAATTACAAAATAAAATTAAATAAATAAAATTCAAAGTGAGAAAATAAAAATGTGAATTCAGCTTATGCAAACTTTCTTATACAAAATAATCAATAGTTATGAATGTAATGTAGTTTTAATGAACTGTAAAGATTTGTTTGCTCTCCAAAGGAGCTGCCTTCTACCATAAATAAGAAAGGGTATGTATTTATGAATTAAATACAGATTAAATGAAATAAAGTTTTAAAGACAATAAATAATTAATTCAAGGGTCTGATTGCACCCATTCTATCTACCTGTATAGTTAGATCACATTAATCCAGAGGTGAAAGTAAGCCGGTACGGCGTACCGGTAAGAGCCAGTACACAGCCGACCGTACCGGCAGGGGGCAGCTTCCCCAGGGCCCGTCAATTTAAAACGGCCCATGGCTCCCGGCGGCGATTTAAAAGGTCCGGGACTGCAGCCCTTTAAATCACTGCTGGAGCCCTGGAGTAGCTCTGGCGGCGGCAGCTGGAAGCCCCAAGCCCTTTAAATCGCCACCGGGCTGTGCTGAAGGGCTGGCTGGGGGAGCCCCAGCCTCGCCCCTTCTGCCCGAGGCCCTACCCTTCCGGTTGAGCCACCCCACCCACCTTGCTCAGGACCTCGGCCACCCTGTGTACTCGCAAGTCCCTTAAGTTACTTTCACCCCTCCATTCATCACTGTAGTTTCTGAGGCCATAGGTGCCAACTTCCTCAGTTCTCGGAGGGTGCCTGACCCCCGCTCTGCCCCACGACCCACTCCCACTCCACCCCTTCCCCCAAACCCCCACCTCACTGCTCTGCCTCTCTCCCGCCTCCCCTCCCCCAACTCTTCCTGCCCCCACTCCTCTCCCACCACAGCACCTCCCGCATGCCGCTGAACAGTTGATCATGGTGGGGGGAGCCGCTGGGAGTGAGGTAGAGGAGTTGATCAGCAGGGCTGCCTGCTGGTGCTGAGCACCCACTATTTTTTTTCCACGGGTGTTCCAGCCCCAGAGCACCCATGGAGTCAGTGCCTATGTCTATGGCCATTATGGACACAGGGGACATTTACAAAAAATTTTCACCAGCTTTATCCCACTTTAGCTGAACTGGTGTACATATAAGTATAGATAAGCTTCTGGTATTTTTACCACCATGTTAGTTAAACCTGATGAAAGCACAGTGATAAAAACAGGCTTGGGCCCAGTATCATGATTCCCTCCAGTTCAGCTGAACCTGTGTTTAAATTGGTTGGAATAATTCTATAAATTTCCCCATGGTGGACGATACCAGAATTTCTTATAATTTCTAAAGGCTATACATCCCAAGAATCTCCGATTGTTCCCTACAGTTTTTTATTCGTAGGAGTGTTCTCTTTTCAACATAGGTCAAAGAAATTGTTTTTACATTTCTGTTTTGCAGTGTTCACTGCTACTGTTACCTCATGACCAGGTTTACCATAACTGATAACAGAAATAGTTACATGTAATTTGATTATTTGTAAGTAACTGATCAAAATAATAGGTTTCTTTTTAAAAGTGTTATCTTGAGAAAAAATCTGACTCTTTCTTTAAGCTCAAAAATACAGTGTCTTTCAGTTAATTGCAATCCTGTCTTTATGGTCCCTAACAGAAGTGATGATGCAGTGGACAGCTCTCAGGGGTATAACATATCCTCTTTTTTACTGAGATTGTGGGCCTTGCTTGGACAAGGTAGTTTTGCAAGCCCTGACTGTGGCCAAAATAATTTTCAGAGTCTGTGAAATACCATTTCAGCATGAGACAAAGACAGTTTGACACCGAGGCACACACTGCCTTGGTTCACATCACACAAGTGTCTCTGAAGTGCAGAGGGCATCCCAAACTCATCAGACCCTACTGAAGCTGACAACACCGGGTTAGTGTTTGGTGCTACCTGCTTTATACGTGCTCAGGCTCTTTCCCTGTGAGCAGAGGCCTGGGGAAGCAGGAGGCTCTGGTGGGATACTTACAAAGGCATCGCACATCACCATCACCACGTTGCGCGCCCTCTGGCTGCTGCCAGCGCCGAGGTGTCCCCAGGCCACAGGACGCGCCTTCGCACCTTCCCAGCGAGTGGAAGCCAGCAGCAGCACCAGAGCCGCCAGCACCACCGTCCGGGCCCCTTTTCCGCACCGCCCCCTCATCCTCTCCGCGCGCCCAGAGCCAGGTCCCCGGGCACACGGCCCCTCACACACCGGCAGGGCGAGCAGCGCTCCCCGGCAGCCAGGCTGCAGCCATTGAGGGAGCGCTGGGCCTAGAGCCAGCCCACCCCAGCGCTTTGACACTGCCCGGCGACACGCCCGAGGCCTAAGAGCAAGACGCCGTGACACTCCCGCCCTCTCCCTCCAGGAGACCAAACTACAGCGCCCATCAGGTCTCGCGGAAGCGGGCCACGACAAACTACACCTCCCGTCATGCCTCGGAGGTCAGGCGGCGAGGGGGGTAGGGGGATGAACTACGACCCCCATCATGCCACAGGAGCTGGAGGACGGTAAGATGGCGGAGTGCTGAGTCGCGTCAATGGCCCTCACGCGGGAAGTGGTGTAACCGAGTCAGTGCGCCTGCGCGGCCGAGCCGGGGCGGTCGGGGTGCGGGGAGTTGGTGGCTGGTAATTGAGGCAGGAGGCGGAGGCAGAGGCAGGTGAAGCGCTCAGTGGGAGCGGGCGCAGGGGGCGGTGCCGCTGGCGGCCCCTGAGGGCCTTTGCTAGCGCCCCGTGGGCGGCTCTGCGAGGCTTGTGTGGGCCCAGCGCTCCCTAGCTAAGCCGGGGCGGTCGGGGTCCGTGGGTGGAGGGGGACCCTGTCCCCGGGGAGGGTGCGAGGGGGCTGGTGTACGTTGCCGAGTGGGAGGCCTGGGGCCCCCGTGGGCGGCAGCGGCAGGTGTGGAGTAACAGGGCAGTTCCGCTGGCTGCCGTGGCAGAGGAAAAGAAAGGTCCCAGCTCTGGGCAGGGAAGGCGAAATAGCCCAAAGAGCAGCGGCGGCGCTAGAGCTAGATCCACAAAGGGACGGGGGTAGTGTACACTGCAGAAACTCCCTACAGCAGCGTGGCCAGAGCCCAGAGCGACAGCCGTGCTGCGCTGACGCCAGAGTGCTGAAATAGCAGTGAGGATGTTCCTGTTTCAGCTCGGAGACCCACCTGCTTACCGGGTTCCACAGCCCAAGCAGGGATATATACACACTGCTATTTTTACCGCCGTAGCGTGGGCCCTGCAAGCCTGAATCTGTACATCGGGTTCTGAGACTTGCTGCCACAGGGGTGTCCCCCCCCCCCCCCCCCCGGCAGTGTAGACATACATACGCTTATACTCAGTGTTGCAACACCTGATATTTAGGCACCCTGCTGCCCAGTGGGATCCTTAGCCCCGAGTTAGGTGCCCAGACTCCCTATACAATGCATGGGGTGAGTTAGGCTCCAAAGAAAGGGATTTACAAAAACCAGTATGCTGAGCAGGGAGCTGTCCAATCTGGCAGTAGGAAATGCCAAGGAGAAGCCTGGGGGCTAACCCTCATTTAGGTGCCTGACTCAAGGCCAGAGATAGAGGGCCTATCTCTACTTTAGCATCACAGATCTGAACTGGGATCCACTCCTGGAGTTAGGCACCTAAGCCAGGTCAGCCCTGTTTCATGAAAAAATGGAGACCCCCTCCTCCACCCACACCATATTATAGCCAGTAGCCTGGTGATCAGGATACTGAGCTGGGATGTGGGATATCTGTTTTAAAATCTCTGCTCAGCAGCAGGGACTTGAACTTGGTTCACTCATATCCCAGGGAGTAACCTAACCACCAGACTATAGAGTCATTGTTTTTCCTCTCTCACTGGTCTGTGACTCTGCTAGTTACAGGTGCTACTGTAATACACATAAATAATAATAATAGTAATATATGACTTCTATTCAATTTTTCATAGTGGACCCTTGCTCCCCAGTATAGTGTTTCTTTTTCTACTCATTCAGACCTAGATCCTTTTGCACTGGGGTATCCCCTTCCTGCCACACTCCCCATCCTGGCAATGATGATAATTGCATCCGAACCATGTACACTTTCTAAAGCATGTGTTAGAGTGAGTGTAAATAATGTGTGCATCAGACTGATGTAGGTGTACAATATACTTAAATATACATGTATGTGCTTTAAATGATACTATGTGTAATTTCAAAATATATTAACTTTATTGTTTATGTTTCCATTTTTTTACTAAAACAAACTTGAATATTTCCTTCATTCCTGCACACATCCCTTCCAAACTTATGAAGTGCTCTTTCCCTCATTAGGGACTACTTAGGAAGTGGAATTTGAAGTTGATCAATGATGTTGATAGAATGGTATGGCCAAAAAGTGTTGGGAAAATCTTTAAAATGTGAATGACAGAGAAACACGTAAACCTCCATATTACTGAACCTCCCTATTTAATGTGCCCCAACTGTCAAGAAAAATTCTACTCTGGGGTGAGAAGTAGCTTTTAGTATTTCAGGGTGATGGCTCAGATCCAGCATAGCATTTAAGGATGTGTATAAATGTGAGTACATGATTGGTCCCAATAACTTCAGTGGGACTACTCACATACTAAAAATGATACATGTCCTTGGGATTGGGGTTTAGAGGTGTACTATCGCATATATGTTTATATGTGTGTGCACTGTTTTTTTGTCAATACTGGATTGATAGCTATTTGGGGCAGGAATTTTGTCTTATACTTGTACAGCAGTGAACATACTGTTAATATTTGCTAAAATGTTTTCTCTGTGTATGGTAATGCAATATAAGTCGAATGCTTTGAACAGTATTTGATATAAATGTCTTTTCTTGAAAACTAATTTTCTGTCCTTTTGACTTTAGCAGTAATAATGTCAAATAAGGAGGTGAAGGCAGCATTGAAAAGTGCCAGAGATGCAATAAGAAATAAAGAATACAAAGAAGCCTTAAAACATTGCAAGGTAATTAATTCTTCTACTTGTATAAAAATTAATTGTGTGTACAAGTAAAAAGCCCTACTATTTTCTGTCCACTGGAATTGTACTCTATACTTTCTGCAGTAATGTACATACTAAGTAAGGTACACATCTTGGCAGTGTACATAGTGAATGATTTGCTGTGGGGTAATCACTAAAATCCTTGTGGATGGGTCCTTCTTCCTTTCTTCAATGAAGATGAAGTTCACAGAGTCAGACAAATGCCACCCTTTCAATTCACACACTGGATCTTATTGCTATATGGTAGATACTGTGGTTTGGTGTGGTGTTGATTTCATTAGTTGCCCATGTTAGCTTGTCCAGAAAAGGAGATCAGTTTTCTGTTGCATGTGCTTAAATGCGAAGCAGAGGGTACAGTAACTCCTCACTTAAAGTCGTCCCAGTTAATGTTGTCTCGTTGTTATGTTGCTGCTCTATTAGAGAACATGCTTGTTTAAAGTTGCACAATGTTCGGTTATAACACCCTCCACCCCCCCAGCGCCTCCCGCCCACCTGCGGGCCCCACGGGTCAGCGCCTCCCACCTGCTGCAATCAGCTGTTTCACAGCGTGCAGGAAGGCTGGGAGGAAGGCGGAAGGACATGGCACGCTTGGGGGAGGGAGCGGAACTGGGTGGGAAGAGGCGGGGTGGGAGTGGAGCTGGGGCAGGATGAGGCAGGGTGGAGCCTTGGGGGAAGGGGTGGAGTGGGGGCAGGGCCTGGGGCAGAGCCGGGAGTTGATCACCCCCCACCAGTTTTACAAGTCGGCACCCGTGGCCCCAGAAGCCCATGACTGTCTCCAGCTCTGCAGGGATGTAGAGGCCCAGTTCCTCTGTGTTGTGTGTCCTTAGCATACCATGCAACCTGGCAGATTGGTTCCCTTAGGAGACGACTGGTCTCCCCAGCACCCCAGGGTGTGGGAGGGTGTTCAGTGACTAACTGGAGCAGGCATTTGTGTGACCTGCTGCTCAGAGGCCAGCAGAGACATCCCCATCGGGTGCTGGGGAAGGATGCAGCACAGTGTCCCTTCCTTTGTGCTGCCACTTGCCTGCTCTTCCTGGTTCCTGTGTCGAGCCCAAACCCGCAGAGCTTGCACGGGGAGGATTCTGCAGGCCTAGGAGTGGGGCTATTGTTGGCCCACACCCTCACTGGTGCTCTGGGGCCAGAGGATATTCGCTTACCTAGTCACAGCCGTGAGTCAAACTGCACCAAACTGGCATAAAGAAATTTACCAAGAAAAAAAAGGAAAGCAAAACAACAATCTCTAGATGTGTTTTTTCGAGTTGGGAATGTTCATCAAGAACAGCAAGAGGAGCAGCCAGATGATCCACCCTCTTCCGCCCTCTGACTCCACCACCTCAAACAAGCTTCACAATCATCATTGCTGAGTACAGTATTAAATTGTTTAAAATTGTTTAAAACTTATACTGTATATGTATATAATGTCTTTTGTCTGAAAAAGATTTACCTAACACCCTCCCCCCCCATTTACATTAATTCTTATGGGGAAATTGGATTCGCTTAACATCGTTTCGCTTAAAGTCACATTTTTCAGGAACATAGCTACAACGTTAAGCGAGGAGTTACTGTATTAATTCTCAGATGACTGTGATAAAAGTCTATCTTTAACCATAGACTTTAGAGAAATCCTTCAATGACCACAGTTACTGATACCTGTGCCACTAGGACCGTTCATATGCAGTTTTTTCTTGCTAGAGAAAGCTAGCAGTTAGAAATTAACCTTTTATTAATGCTCTAACTTATGTTATCACTGTGCAGAAAGTAACATCTTGTTAAATAGATACCTAATAAATAAAATTCACCGTGTACCAGACTAGTATGTTCAGGAACTTCTTTTCTAGAAAGTAAGAAAACTGATTAATCAAACTCGGTAGTTGAGTCTGTAAGACACATTTAGTACACTAGCTTCATTTGAACTCTTATATTTTTAGGCAGTGCTGAAACAAGAGAAAAATAACTACAATGCCTGGGTGTTTATTGGCCTGGCAGCTGCAGAGTTAGAGCAGCCTGATCAGGCCCAAAGTGCATACAAAAAGGCTGCTGAACTTGAACCAGGCCAGCTACTGGCATGGCAGGTATGTATTCGACTCTAGTTCCACTTTACCCTTCCTATTAAATGAACTACTGTGTTCTTTAGTATAGGAACAAGATCCAATAAACATTTGACTGTTAGGGCAGATCCTCAAGTTGTGTAAATTGTCATATAACAAATTATACCAGCTGCGGATCTCAGTCCTGGTATGTACAATGTTAAAACCAATGGGAGTTGCATGTGTGTAAAAGAGAGCAACTTTTGGATTCGTTATATTTAAATTATTATAGGTCTTCTAATGGATAAATATGTTTCATTCCCTTGGAAAACAAAAACAAACAAACAGAAAAAGTATGCTTATCCCCCTTAGGTGCTTTCT